AATTAAATTTACAAGTAGTGAAAAAAGCCTTAAAGAGGGAAAACTCTCCCAAAAACAAACCCTAGAGAATGCCGCCATCTTTTCCGATCTCCCCCTCTAGTGGTCTGCTATTCTCACCGCCATCGTGAGAGGGACCGGTTTATGCTCCTCTTCAATCTAGTTTTCCCTTGCAGAGTTGATGCATATTTGGTCTCGAAGGTTCATGAAAGGATTCTCGTTTTGGGTTCGGAGCTGTTTCTGTCGACGAGTCTCTCTACTCTCTCTAATCTCTTGTCTCAACTACTTGAGGTGGTAGTAGCGTTGGGCGATTTGGGTTCCTCAACTCGTCAAAGACCGAGCTCCTCCTTGTCTTTGCTTCCTTCGCGAAGCACTGTGGCAATGGTCTTGTGAAGGTCTTGGTGGCTAGGGTTGAGGTTGTCCCTCCGGTAAAGCTTTTGAGGATGAGATTGCCGGTTGGTCTTGCCTTGTCTCCTCTTCACTGTTGGCATCTACCGCCTTCTACGGCGGCTTCTTTTAATTCTGGTACTAGTTGGGGTCGGAGTGAATCCTCTGGTTTGTTCCTCTCCCTTTCTTGTTTGAGTCCTTATCTTCTGTCCTCTGTGCAAATCGTTGCTTGGAAGTTGTTTTCCTTGTGTATGTCATCTGTTGTTGATCCGGTTCTGCAGTTTGAAACTTGCTCTATCATTGCTTTGGTCTTCGTTTTCTGTTGGTTCCCTTTTGTCCCCTCTCTTAGATGTTTCTCTTCTCTTTTTTTGCATCCTCGAAGGCCATTTGTGGTTTGAGGATGTTCATGGCCACGGTTTCTCAGGGTTGGTTTCTGTTTCTCTCCCCCTTTCCGGGCTGCTATAACTTAATGCTCCGGTGGTCTCCTCTTCCTTCATCAATCCGGTAACTTTTCTCTGATCGAGTTATTGGTGTAGTCTAGGCTAAGTCAAACAGTGATGTGTAGGTGCGATTAGGGATGTAGGGATTAGTCATCTTTTTGCATTGTTCTTTCCTCTTCTTCTCGATGCAGGTGTGGTCTGATGTCGTCTTCATGCCTTGGTTACACATTCTTCTAGCTGGTGGTAGAGGTCCTTACTATGTCACTACGTCAGTTTCTTGCTCGACTCCTTGATGTGGTGGTTTGTAAGTTTGGTTTGTGCTATTCGGTGTTGCTTTTCTTCATGTTCAGTGTTGGACTCGTGTTCTTGGTTGTGTTTGCGTTCTATCCTTCAATTCCGGCTTTTTGTGTTTTTCTCTTCATGTCGGCATTCCTTGTTTGGGTAACTCCAGGTGCCTCCTTAGTTTTGTGAAGGTTTCGAGTCTTCGAGTAGACGTATATACCTTTTTTGCATCCTACCATTTTGATTTACCGCATATGTTGTTCTTATGTAATAATTTTTCATATTGTAACACTTCCACCTGCACAAGTTTAAATAGAAATGTATTATAAAAAAAAAAAATTCTTCTTCTTCTTGACTAGCTTCCAGTTGTATTTCTAGCTCTTTCTTAACTCCCAAGTCTATGTTTTATGAAACCGAATCAATGAATTTGAGAAACTGGAACTTTCTTTCTGATGATGATTACTCATAGGTTGATCATCGTTTACTTGGATGGCATATTGTCTAGTTAATCTCTAGAATCTTTTTGATTTTGAGCTTCTAGAGTATCTCTTAAATCCGGCATTGAATCGACCACTCACCAATAACATTATCACTCAAGTGTCTATAAACTTAGTGTCGTGCCAAATGAAGAAAAGAAAAGGCATTTGCATAGAGCCCCTAAAATATATAAAATTTTAGTGGTTTTAGTGAGCAAGTTTCATTCAAAGAATATGGTTTCAATTTTTGGGTTATATTTTTTTTAATTTTGGAAATCTAACTCTTAAAACTAAAAAAAATCACAATTAAAAAGAAATCGTTTGCAAATTTTGTTAGTTTATAAATGCAAAAAATTATGTACTAAAAATGAAAGAAAAAGATTATATCTCAGGCTTACCGTTTTGTTTTAAATACTGTATATCGTTTAAAAATATATATATGTTAAAAAGCCTCTATTTTTTAGTTCGTTCCAAGCCCATACTGACATGAGCACGACATTGTCTACAAAGCTTGGAAATGAGATAGAGGATTCGAGCTGCAAAGGCAAAAAAGAATAATGATATATTATTATATATTAAAG